TGTCACATCATAGCACGTGACCATAGACTGTCGCAAATCTTTTGTTCAAAGTGCTAGATATTTATATCCCATTTCAGCCTCAACATTACTGGCAAGTTTAAATTCTTCCTAATCATCTTTATTTGTTTAGAGATAGAATGAGAAAATCTAGATGGCGCATAATATTTCTACCTTAATAATATGTTTCGGAGTAAAGACTGTGGAGAGATCGTCTGAATCGTCTCTAACAACACCTGGAGGACAAAGGATCCGACATAAGCCATCGATATAATCCAGTATACTACACAGAAAAATAAACGCATACAAAACCGTTGTAACCTGCGAGCCTGATACGTTATGTGATCCTTTTAAAAGCTGAAATATATAAAACTATATGTATGTATATAACCTATTAAAAAGACAGAATATTGAATCACTTGAGCTGAATTATTTTTGGATAACTCACTGTAAACTTCTATCAATGGTATTCAACCGCATGTATATTGCACATGTCATGATGAACTTTCCAAAACAGGTTTAAGACACCAATTTGGAGTTCACTAGATTGACTCCGTAGTTTCGCAAAATTAGTTGTAAAAATAAAATAGAAGTATGAAATTTCCTAGACAAAATTAAATATCACCTCTAATCCATCTCTTTGGATCAAATCAACCAATTCTCGGAACAACTTTGCACACTGATCAATTAAACGACAGTGTATCTTCGGACCACCGATATTCAACAAGGTTAGCAAACCTTTACTAAATATATCCAGTTCTTTCAGTTGCTCACGCCTGAAATCCTCACATCCACTGCCTTCTTTTTCATTCTGACTGTTCTGGAAAAAATTATTTTGTACTTATTTCTTCTATTTTTTCAGTTTTTGAAAAAAAATGGTATTACAAAAGGCAAGAATGAATAAATACCATTTTTCTCCAGCATAGTGATGCATACGCCCATCGATCGCTTCGTTTCACTTCAACCAAGGAGCTTTCGGCTGTTCGTTGATGAACGTTTTCGACAAAAAGCACATTAATCATTTGTTCTAATAGAGTTCGAAAGTCTGGATCTACGAAACTGGCCTTTCGACCCTTATCTGCCAAATGTTCAATCAAAGGTTGCAGCATGCAAAATGTCTCAAGCGGAGCCGCACTGACGCTGACCCATTGAACAAGTAAATTCTGGTGTTTCTTGAGTGATGACAGAAATCGAGAATTCAAATGCGCATCTGGAAAAGAATTATATAAGCAATAAAAATAATGAACAGAACGTAATAATCCTCACTTCGTTACTCAGTAGGATATTCGGGTTTTCAAATTCCATATCTGTTGAAACTAAAGTTTTCGAATCGAACGAAAAGTGAGAGAATATTATCCCAATAATATCCATCTTCTTTTCAATACTTGTCTACAAACATACTTTTTAAACCACATATGGTTGAAAGCAAGTTCACAAATGGTATTGAACGTTTTATAAGTGAATCGTTCATCGCAAGTTGATCCAAAACAGATGAAAATATATCTTCTGGCAGCGTATTCCACGGTAAATTGAGGGAGCTTTGTGATGAGACCAAATGTATTAGGATGGAACAAAAAACTGACTGACCGTTCCTAAACGAGCGGATATAAATTAAATGATAAATCTGAGTTTTTAATCTGAAAAACTGATCACAGAACTATCTATGTTCGAATTTTTAGCATTTTCAGAGATATTTTTGCAAAGTACTAAAAATTTTCGCAAATCATAGGAGATTCATGTAAACCAAGAGTCAAATTTCAAAATTCGAAAACCAGAAAACATACAGTAAATTTGTTTCTGAGGCAGTCTGCTGAGCTAATATTCCATCCAATAAAACAGAAACAATACGAGTCAGATGACGGCTCTTTACCAAAACTGTATTCATTTTTGACAACACCGATTGATTCAATTCACGCGTTGCTGTTCCTGTGAGATCCGAACTGTGGATAAAAATCATCCAATCAAGAAGCAACTGCGTTTCATCCTGACGTTGCATATTGCTTCTGAAGTATTTTAATCCTCAATACTCATTTCATTCTTTAAATTTTTTAACTTCGTTTAACTCTTAATTTTTTCAATATTAGTCTAAAATTCGAAAAAACAAGAAAGTTGAACAAAGTACATAAACTTATCATTATTTCGATGATTTATATCAGCCCTAATACTAATATTTTACTAATAAAATCTTCTTTGAATTTTACTAATAAAACGCTTCTTTATTTTTTCTTATTTCAAATTTCAAATAGTACTGGTCACCTATATAAATCTACTCATTAAATAATATGCCAAATGATGTAATCTATTCTATTCCTTTAAGACTGAAGAAACAGTGCTAATTTTTCAAAAAAACTAAGAAACTGGCCTCGATAATAACTGATTAAGAATAAATCGAGTTGTGTTATCACAGAGTGAACAGAATGCAGCAAACATCTGTAAAGCAAATTTCAAATAAAATCGAATATTCCAAGTTTTTTGCCTCAAAATAGTTTAAAAACTATTTCCAATTAATAAGTTTCAGTGCAAAGCGAACAACTGCTAGCTGCAATTATTGATGCACTTTGAATTCATTTAAGATATTTTTTATGCTCTTTGATGTGCGAGATTCATTTCTAAATGCGAGTAAAGATCAGAAAAATTTCAGTTTATCAATTTATAACCGAGGATTTCACTTTTATTCCCTGTGATTTGAGCTAATGGTTGAGTTTACATATTAAAAAAATACATTACTCATTATAACCAACATCAAAAAATTAAAACAAGAAAAAAGAAATTGCTCACAATTAAAACACTTCCACCCCAAATTAAAAAACCTAAGAAAAATTTGCTCAGAGTTCAGTATTTACAATATGTGAACATCTTGAATTTATTATCCAAAACATATGAACATTTACGAAAACTTTTCTACTGACTTAAAATAAAAAACGAAAAATCAGTAGCAGCGTGATTCCTACCTGTTTCTTGATATCCTGTACTAGCGCAATAACAGAATACGGTGATTGAAATGTATCACTCATTGCATCCAGCATAGCTGGTGTACAAGAAAACCTTAATTCAGGAAACATAAGTCCGGCCCATGCATGAACCAACTTTAACAAATCATCATTCAAAATAGAATGAAGTTCACCACGTGCGTGCGGCACAGCACTGTTCAATACGTCACTTTTTGCCAATGACAACGATGCTGCATATACGCCCAACGACAGCGTGACTCTACTGCGTTCGCAAATCACACTGCTGAAAAACAACGAATCTAACTGACCATTATAATTGATTAATGATGAAGATCATCACAACTGGTTAGTGATTTTGCAACTACACGTGGCCAAGACATGTGAAACCACAAATGGACAGGGACAAGATCAATTTAAAAAGTTTGCAATGCCAGCTATTAAATCATTCCATTTTTCTACTGATAATGTTCTCAAATTACCTTCTAATGTTGAGAATCAATTGGCTAACTCCTAATGTCAGCACTGTCTTTCCTGTTTATCAGAGTGTACACTACAGTGCTTCGCTTTTCAACGAAAAAATTCATGGATTAAATTTTCTTGATCTCGATACGAATCACAAATGTACCAAAGTACTCACACTGCATTCTTATACATTCCAGAAACGAATTCAGTCACCCGAATAAGTTCCTCTGTTGAACAACGATATTTTCTCAGCTGGTTGTAAAGCAGCAATAGAGAATCGTAGTATATCAGCGGCAAATTTACGAGGTCAGTAAGAGACTGGAAAGCATGAATGAATTCTATGAAAATTAAAGGCGTATGTATAACTATGATATTATCTACGATATTAAAACTATGATATTATTGATTGAAATTGATAAGTGAATACGAAAAATTTAGATTTGAAAACTTAAACCAAACCTGCTGTAAGTAAAGGAAGAAGAAAAATCAAAATTCAAACATAGACTTACACAGTCATCCACAATCGGTAAACCAACAACAGCTAGCGTTTCGATTTTAAGCACATGAGCTACTCCTATATTTGTGTCCTCACCATTAAATTTCTAAAAAAAGATAATTAAAGCCGTTGAAACCGTAATTAAAAACATGAACTGTACATGCTCCACAAAAAAGACGTATCTCCAAAAATAAGATAGATCATTTCTATATGGTCTTACGCGCTTCACCTGATATCCTAACAATTACAGAAAACAAAAATTTCCCGAATATCTTGATTATATGCTCCTCAGCTTTAATTCGATTGAAATTTCTGATAAGCCAAAGAGAATCTAGACAAGAGCTTTTAAAAGGATATAGTCAATCTCCAATTTTTTCAGGAAATATCAAAAGAATGACTTATCAGAAATTTCGTTCCATCGTATTAAAATCTCGATTTGTAGAAACTTACATTCAAATAAGTTGCATATACGCTATCCAGCAATAAAGGTCGAATTCGTACGAAATGACAACGTTCAGCGGGAAGAATAGCAATACCACTCGAAATTTTTGAAAGAAACGAGACTGTAGGCTTAAAGAATGAGTATAAAATGATAAACCAGTTTATAAAATAGAAATTATCAATGAAAATTAAAAAGTTAGGAAAAAATCTCATTGTAGTCAATCTCCAGTTTTCGATCATAATGAGAAAACTAAAGCATTCTTTTAGCTGGCTTCGAATTAAGGACAATTCAAGTAGTTAGTGACAAGTAAAATATTGAATAAAAATTCACAATCAAAATTTTTTCTACAATCGTACCGGCAAAATGATATGTGCAGAAGGGCGTTCCTCATCCCACTGCATATCGTATAGCCAACTAATATACAAATCATGCAGTTCATCCCAATGATTGAAATTAAACATAGAACGAGTTAAGAGAGTATCGCTCCATTTCGGCGTCCTGCTCAGATCTGCAAGAATTGTATCGCAACTTACAACAGCCTTAAATCCATCATTTCTTAAAATTTTAGACTGTTGAAACAGCATAAAATTATCATGCACTATGAAGTATTTTAGATGTCGAATAATAAACTGACATCTCATTTCATACCATGGTACACAGGTAAGAAAATAAGGAACATAACTCACCAAAAAAATCGCAACAACATTTTCGAAACTTTTCCATAACTACATGCCTCTTATCACGTGACTGGCCTCCAACTAATAAGAGATGAACGGCTTCTAACGCATAACGCACTCTTTGGCGTTTCACATCACTGGAATATCAAGAGTTGTTGCAAAACTTTACATATACAATGAATAAAATAGCTTTTCCACAAGCATTCAACAAAGATTTACAATAGAGACTGTGCTAAAATTTGAGATATTCAACTCTTTTCAATTCAGTTAGATTGCGGGACCTTCTAAAATAATTAGACCTCCTAAAATAAGAACTATCATAAGCAGAGTATTGAACAGAAAAAGGTACTGTTCCTACAAAGCTGAATTTTTGTGAATTATTAATGCAGTTTCTCCTAATTCAAAATTTTGAACTTCAACTGAAAAAAAACTGCAATAACCTTTTTAGGACATCATATAACATGCTCACTGCAAAATCGGCTGACTTTTCCAGATCTTTGCTATCCAATAGTTCGGAAATACATTCAAGAAGCCAGAAAGTGGAATGCTCAGGAGTACCATTCCTCGATTCTGCATATATTGAGCGGAGAACATAATGAACAATCTCTGCTGCACTTCGACGTCTTAACACACAAACAGCAATAATTTTTAGACAGAATGGATCAGAAGTAATAATTTCTGATTCACTGCCTTTTGGAAAATATAACATACTGTTCACCAGTTGCTCCTGAAAAAACAGAAGAGTTAATTGAAACATTTGAATCGCAAATTTAATAACAAATCTGACATGACATGAAGAGAAGCATAATCCTCCTGTCGAAATGTCGCTCTCACAAATGCTTACCTCATCATTTTCATCCAGATAACCCTTGTCTAGGGAATGTTCCAGAAGCAATATTAATAAAGCATTGACATTTTCTGTTCCACAATACCCATGGTCTCCACCTGATGCAGCACATAAATCTCGAAAACAATTGAAACTTGAATTTGTCCAGATATTTGAAGTGTTTTCCATAAAGAACAACATCGACAAGCTTCTTTCGCATAAGTTTAGTAGCTAAAATTAAAAAAAGAAATTGGTGTGGATTTTTTCTTATTTCACTACTTATTATTCTTCAGTGTTTCAATAAGTTCTTTTATTTTACCGTTGAAGAGGAGATGGTAAAAAGAGTAGCCTTTTGCAAATTAACAGCATCTTCTTGCTGATCCATCAAAACAGGTACCGCTCTCAGAATATTTTCCAACCAGTCGCCAACACCTGCTACAGGATCGTCTGTAACATAAGTATCTTTTCAAAATTGCAATGGATTCTACTGCTAGTATGATTAAAAAATTATTAAAAAAAAAACGTAAACTATAAAGAGATCCATACTGTCATATAAATCAAACTCAAAACCATACCAGATGAATCAGTTGAGGATGACTTTTTGACTGAGCTAGCATCACCGAGCCTCAATGCATGTTGTAATGCTTCTTTAGCAATATTCCAAAGCGCTTCATATAGAGTAGACGATACAGATGTCAAGAATGATAATGCTGTCGGAAGTATATTGAGGAAACGATTTGCGAAAACATATGCTATATCCATCCTGCACTTTCTCAACAACTGCAAATGAAAGAGTAAATTATACATCGAGTTAAAATTTTTTTCAGTCAAAAAATTTCTAATTTTGGTTCGACAAATAAGAAAAATAATAGAAAAGATGCATGAACAAATGATCTCACTTTTTATCAAATCGAAATAAAAGTCCAAATGTTTCCACAGATCCAGCAGTGGTGGTGGTGTGGTTCACAAGTGAGATATTATGATACAAACACGGAACGTTTCCCCTCTACAGGGATTAGAAACATAGGGTCATTCAATAATAACTAAAGAACA